TATTGCCCTCTCCATGGGGGCATCTTGGAAGCTGCTGCTTTTCTCAGCCACGATTCAGAGTTCCAGAGGGCTGAGAAACTTAACATCTCATGGAATATTTTTGCCTTCTTTCCTTGAAATATGGAGAAGATCTTTCGCCTCTGTTTTGTCCCTCCTTCTTTAGCTCTCAGCAGAATTCGCTGTCTCCAGAATGGGAGAGAAATTATGTTCCACCTCTTTGGAAGAGTCAGCTTCTTGGATATCTGCCCACCTTCCCTGAAAACTATGTTTGGTGCATCCTGTGGGACCTCAAGCTCCTGTTTTCTGTCGGACCACCGACTACTATCCTTTTCTATCTTTCAATCAAATTTGGGGAGCCGATGGATACTTGTGACTGCCCATTCACCAAAAGGAGAGACCTGTGAAGTTTCCCACACTGGATTTAACTACTTTTGTGAAGAGCAAAACCAAAATGAATGTCAAGATTGATAGGAAGGCCTTCTAGATCTCAACAAATGGAAAGGATTTACTTTGGGGGCCGTGGGGGGTGGGTGGGGTGGCATTATCATAGGAAGGCTTACCCGACACTGTGATTAATATCAAGATGAAATGGATCTTTGGCAGCCCGAAAGGACTGATATTCAAATCGTGCTATATTGAAAGTTGTGAAGATGCCAAAGAAGTCATCGAGCTCACCTTTAGAACATCTCAATTTCATTTTTCACCCACCCACCCTTCCTTTCCTTCTTTATTTTCAATCCCTTAAACACCCGTTGCTTTAATTTCTAGGTTTTAAAACAGTTTAAAAAAATTAGCCAACTGGGTTTCTAGCCCATCGGGATTTAAGCTTGAAAATTTGGAGTTTTGTGGGCGGGAAAAAAACTTGAGAAACACTCGGAGAAGACAGATTTGACCGAAGAAAAAGAAAACCATTAACGCCCTGAATATTTCCCTCTGCGTCCCCCCGAGAAAGGCTCCAAATTTGTAGAAAAATCACACTTGGCCCAATTTGGGAGTAAGAGGTCTATCTTGCAAACTGCCAACTTTTCAACCAGCCCATGATTTCAAATTAATGTGTAGGAAGTTTGATCATCGTTACAACCTTGTTTATTTTTTTTATTTTTTTTTTGTATGGTGCTTAAGGTTATTGTTAATTTGCACAAAACAATATCTGAGCAAATCTAGGGCAAAAAGCAGTTTGGTAAATAATTCCATTTTCCCATGCCAGGAGAATTCATTGCTGGAGACATATCAAAAGTTTTATTTTTGAAAAGGCAACTGGACTGATTTTCGAGGAAGAGGACGACAATTTTTTTAAATAGGAGAACTTTTGTAAACATTCTCTTCCAGAATTACAATTTTTCAGTTTCGGGGAAATGACCCTTTGAACAGTTCAACCCGTCAACCCTTTTTATCCTAGCTGATCCGGAAAAAGGTAAACATATTTGGAAACCACCTGGTGTACTTTGAATGAGACAAACTACCTGTGAAACAAGGAGCAAACTTGACTGAAAAGGTTTTTATTGAAGCGCTAAGCCAGGTGCCTTATTCAAATCATTAGGTTCTTGTTCTCTCTCTCTTTTTTTTTAAATTAATATCAAGGAAATGCAAATTAGTTTGGGGAACTTGATAATAAAGAAGACTTTATCTTCTGCCTTAATACCACGGAGATGCAAATTAGCTTGAGGAACTTGATACCGGGGAAGAAGGAACAGTTGGGTCTCTCTTCTGTAGACCCAACTGCCTGGTCTTATCGGTCCCATGCACCCCATTTTCCTGAAGACTACCTCAAATGGTAGACATGGCCAGCAGATATCATAGACTGGCATCTGTCAGTGAAAGAAGTAACACAGCAACTTCCTCCCTACACAATAGAAGGAGCATCTCCATGGCATCAGTTGTGTTGACCAACAGCTAATCTTGCTGTATTTTGCTGAGGATACATCTCCGTGATTGGAAAGAGATGGATCTCAGAAACTGTGGCATTTACGGAGACGACGTCTCCTTCGGGAGGGTGGTGTTGATGGCAACACCAAATTGTATGGTATATTCAGGGAGCCGGGAATTTGGAGATAACTGGAATTCAGAGAATGGAGAAAGGGATGTCTCATAGGGAAGGCCAAGCTGGTTGAGAATTTCAGGTGGGCTCAATGAATCCAATCATTGATAGCTTCAAGCTATCCATGGAACCTGGGTCATCAGAACACAATTGTAGGGTTCTCCTGACAAGCTCTGTCTGAATGAACCCTCAACCCATCTGTCCAAACTCATGCATTGGCCATCAGAGTTGGTTCCAGCAGGAAAGGAGAGCTTCCTTCTCCAGATACTGCTGCAGAAGAAGAAGTCCCAGTTTTCCTCACCGTCGTTGCTCTCACAAGGGCAGCTGAGGATTGTAATTTAGAACATCTGGAAGGAGACTTGGTGTACACCCAATGTTTAAGAGGGGGGCCTCTGCATGGCCTTTGACCTTGGTGCATTAAATATCTGGAATGGTCTACAGATCATTCCAAGAACTGTCCTATGCATGGGATATTTTCCTTCCCATCGCCCCTCACAAGCATCTTGGTCTCGTTACCTTTTGGCTACAATAACCCATGCTCCCATAACTCCAGAAAAACTGATCTGGCTTTTCACCTTTTCCTTGATAGTTAGCAAACATTCCCCAGCATGCTTTCGGAGCGAAATCGAGTCAATATTTGCTAACTCTTTGTTCCTGTGTCTTCAAAAGCAGACGAAGGCAAGAAAGAGTGTCCTAACTACACGTTTTGCTGCATGGCATTGATTTTTTTTAAAAAAATATATATACAAAAGACACAAAATAAAAATTATTTTTAAAAAATAATAATGATGATAATTAGCTGCTTCTAAAACCTTTCCGGTGCATCTCTTTGCAACAATCAAGCCATCCACATGCCTAACTAAAAGCAATAATGATGCCTCCCCCACTTTCTCCTTTGACTATTTCCTCTTCCTTTTGAGTTTACTTGAAGTTTGAAACTGTGGATGAATAACCACTTTCGTCGCAAAGCACATAGGATTCCCTGAAAAAAATAGAAACTTCCACCCCCCTTCCCTTCCTTTTCTATTCTAGTTTTGCTAAACCTCCGGGGTTTTTTTTAAATCTATTTCGGCTCTTCGGCCCTGTATATTTTGTATTTAGAAACGGCATTCAGATGTGTACATAGTATAATATATGAATTTAAGCAGGAATTCCTCTGTAATCACACTGTTGCTTTAAGGGGACACTGTCCTATATTCGGATGACCATTTTTATACATTGACGAATGACAAATAAAAGTCTGTTGGGTTTTTCTCAGCCTGCCTGTGGCTTCTATCTTTTTTTTTTTGTCGTTTTTGCACGCAGTTCCTTTAGCTACATTAGCTTGGGTATCGCTCACTGATAAATCCATTTTTCACGAGGATACATACATACTGTACATACATGCCTATACAATACATACCAGTGGTGAATTTCAAATTTTTTTTACTACCGGTTCTGTGGGCGTGGCTTGGTGGGTGTGGCATGGCTTGGTGGGCGTGGCAGGGAAAGGATACTGCAAAATCTCCATTCCCTCCCCACTCCAGGGGGAAGGATACTGCAAAATCCCCATTCTCTCCCCACTCCAGGGGGAAGGATACTGCAAAATCCCCATTCCCTCCCCACTCCAGGGGGAAGGATACTGCAAAATCCCCATTCCCACCCCACTCCAGGGGAAGGATACTACAAAATCTCCATTCCCTCCCCACGCCAGGGGAAGGATACTGCAAAATCTCCATTCCCACCCCACTCCAGGGGAAGGATATTGCAAAATCCCCATTCCCTCCCCACTCCAGGGGAAGGATACTACAAAATCTCCATTCCCTCCCCACTCCAGGGAAAGGATACTGCAAAATCCCCATTCCCTCTCCACTCCAGGGGAAGGATACTACAAAATCTCCATTCCCTCCCCACGCCAGGGGAAGGATACTGCAAAATCTCCATTCCCACCCCACTCCAGGGGAAGGATATTGCAAAATCTCCATTCCCTCCCCACTCCAGGGGAAGGATACTACAAAATCCCCATTCCCACCCCACTCCAGGCGAAGGATACTGCAAAATCCCCATTCCCTCCCCACTCTAGGGGAAGGATACTGCAAAATCCCCATTCCCTCCCGATCAGCTCAGCAATCCAGGGCTGGAAAGGACCTCCGAGATCATCTAGTCCAGCCCCTTGCTCCCTGGCAAAATGGAACTGCTAAATTGGCCACGTGGCCCGCCCGCCCAGTCACATGACAACCTGGCCATGCCCACAGAACTGGTAGAAAAAAAAATTGAATTGCAAACTCCACTGCATGCATACGCACAATTTTTCATTAGAATGATTTGGGGCACAGCAGGGAGAATTGCACTGACTGTCTAACAGGTTTGCAAATGGTAATGCGTGAACCGGTTAAACGAATGGATTTGGCAACTGGGCACACTCAGATGGACCGACTCTGCAAACAGAAGAAACCATGAGTTCAAGTCCCACCTTAGCTTTGAAACCCAGCTGGGTGACTTTGGACCTGTCCCGCTCTCTCAGCCCACCTCGCAGGGGGTTTGTTATGGAGAAACAGGGCGAGGAAAGCGTGTTGGATATGTTCCCTGCTTTGAGTTATTTTTTTTATAATAATAATAATAATAATAATAATAATAATAATAATAATAATAATAATAGCAAGATAGAAATAAAAATAACTAGCTGAGCCTGGGGCTTATTAAACTTAGTAAAGTTTCTTTCAGAATTAACTCCACACACACCTAAATCAACCCGAACTGGTTGGAAAAAAACTCAAGACAGTCACCAGATGGCGACAAAGAGGTTTCTGTGTCTCTCTGACGCCACCTAGTGCCTCTCTGGAATCATAGCGACACCCAAAAGTCCTTGATAGATTGTCTTATGATGATAAGGTTATTATCTTGGAGGACTCGCCTTCCTCCACCAACTGCATTTCCTTCCTTGAGCAAAAAAAGATATTCAACTTCCTGGTTTACTTCATTCTAAAAGCCGAATCCAGCAGAACAAAGACCGGAGATCAACTCTCCAACGACCAACTCAAGATTGTTGTCAGATCACTGGCTCTTAGAAACCAAGACTGATGGCTTATCAACAGCTAGTAAGAGACTGGGACAAAGGCGTCGTAGCCCTTGAGAAAGGCAATCTTGACACTGCCTTGGAAATTTTTCGTGGCATCAAGAATCCTCCTTCCAAGATAGATTTCAACATTGGCTGCCTGTATCTCCAGCAAGGAAATCTGGATCAAGCTCTGGAGGTAAGAGAAGCAAAGTTTCTCAACCACTGTACGATCCAGAAACATTGTAAAAAAAAAAAAAAGATATAGAGACTCTAGAAAGAGTGCAGAGAAGAGCCACCAGGAGTGGGGAGGGAATGGAGATTTTGCAGTATCCTTTCCCAGGAATGTGGAGGGAATGGGGATTTTGCAGTATCCTTGCCCAGGAATGTGGAGGGAATGAGGATTTTGCAGTATCCTTCCTCTGGAGTGGGGAGGGAATTATTATTATTATTATTATTATTATTATTATTTTTGAATTTGTATACCGCCCTTCCACCTGAGGACTCAGGGCGGTGAACAGCCAAATAAAAACATCAAATACAAATATTAAAATACAGTTAAATATATATATATAGATTTGGCCCCATTAATTAAAACGATAAACAAAACAGAACAATTAAAAAACCCTTAAAAAGAATTTTTAAGAATGGGGATTTTGCAGTATCCTTCCCCCAGTAGTGGGGAGGGAATGGGGATTTTGCAGTATCCTTCCTCTGGAGTGGGGAGGGAATGGAGATTTTGCAGTATCCTTCCCCTGCCATGCCCACCAAGCCACGCCCACAGAACCGGTAGTAAAAAAAAATTGGATTTCACTATTGGGGGAGGTGGGGGAAATAGCCAGGTATGGGGGATTGATTTCCCCAACCCCCCAGCCTTTATCTTTTAGAAATTCAAATTACGAAGAAGGAAAAGATAAAAAATCGGATAAAATCACCGACGAGAGAAGAAAGAGTTAGCATTGTGGTCCCTCAAATCAAGCTCTCCGTGTCGAGGAAACAGCGTTTGCCAACTCTCCTTTCAAAATATAATTTGGAAAGCACGGACCAAATCCCCTTTTTCTTATCACGAAGTTAATGGACTTTGCACTTCGAATGTTTGCAAAGGAGGAGAAACTTTAATCCCAAATATCTAAAGTGCTGGCAACCGTCCTAGGTTTAAAGCCTAAACTTTGGTTAATAAAATGCAACGGTTACTCCCACACAGTCGATTCCAAATTAGCTAATTCTGTTTCAGGCTTGCATTCTCAAAGGAACCCAAAAAACACAACTTAACATTTCGATATTCCATTATTTCTCTGGCCGCGATTCCTTGAATCGAGCCCAAACAACTTAGTTCATGCATCAAGTTAAGCCGGCATGTCATTTCTTTGGCTTGAGCTGGTTTAGTTCATGACCCCTGGATGATGGTTTGTGGTGACGGGTGGCCCAGTTAATAGTGACTTGCTCAACAGTTGGATTTCGCAAGACTTTCAGTTATGATTTACAATCCGGGGGGACCATTAAATCATAAGTGTCGCTTACGATTCGAGCACCACAAATAAATATATTTTTTCTCTCTCTCTCCTGCTTGCGTTCTGGGATTTTTTAAAAAAACTCCCTCAATTGCTGACTTGTTGGTGGAGATTAAACAAAACAACCTTAGTTTTGTAAACTTTCGCTTCGGCTAATAAAGACATTTCTTTCATATCAATTTTAGGTCGCTTCTTTCAAAATAAGCAATTTTGAAACTTGTTTTTATTCTGAATTGCAGCGCAGAGTTAAACGGTGTTGCAATGACTTCGTGCCACCAATTCCTAAAGAAAACAGCATCTCTGTTTAGTTCAAATATAAACTTAGCAGAGGAATGTAGAAAGAGAGACGGCGTGGAAAATAAACACTCCCCCGCTCAGCTGGGATCCCTTCTCCCAAAGGCATTTTGTCCATGCTCAGGAACACCCTGCTTTCCAGCAGCCAATAAAAGACACAATACAGCAGAGTTTAATCCATTTCTGTTCAAACTCCATTGAAATGACTCCTTGCTAAGTTCAACCCAGGAATATAGAAAGAGAGACGGTGGGTAAAATAAACACTTTCCCGCTCAGCTGGGATCCCTTCTCCCAAAGGCATTTTGTCCATGCTCAGGAGCACCCTGCTTTCCAGCAGCCAATAAAAGACACAATACAGCAGAGTTTAATCCATTTCTGTTCAAACTCCATTGAAATGACTCCTTGCTAAGTTCAACCCAGGAATATAGAAAGAGAGACGGTGGGTAAAATAAACACTTTCCCGCTCAGCTGGGATCCCTTCTCCCAAAGGCACTTTGTCCATGCTCAGGAGCACCCCGCTTTCCAGCCGATAAAAGACACAATACAGCAGAGTTTAATCTATTTCTGTTCAAACTCCATTGAAAGGACTCCTCGCTAAGTTCAGCGTCCCTCTGGGCTCGTGGGCCCCCACGCAGAAAAGATTTGGCATCCTGCCGTGCCCTACTTTTGAAAGGGTTGATGGAGTCCTTCCCAGAAATGCAATCTAAACAAGCTGCCTCCAGTGAAACCCCAAGCCTCTGATTCACGGCTTCCCGATGCAACGAAGGTCAGGCTTACCGAGGTGGCCAGCTCACATTAAAAAAATAAAAATAAAAATAGAATTATAAGATTGGTAGGGACCTTGGAGTCTTCTAGTCCAGCGGTCACCAACTGGTGGTCCGCGAGAAAAGTTTGGTGGCCCGCAGAAAAATTATTTGCATTTTTTAAATATTGCACTAAATCAGGAGTCCTCAAAATTATGGCCCCTGGGCCGGATATGTGCAATGAACGTTTGTGTTGCTGCAGAGAGTCTCCCCCTTCGGGGTCTTTTTATGTGGATCGGAGGGGGGCAGAAATTCCGACTCGGGGTCTGCTTCGGCCTCCTGGTGTGGGGCTTTGGGCGAAGGCTGGAGGGAAGCGTCGCTGGTGGCGAAGAGCCGGAGGGTCTCGTACCAGTGGGACTGCATCATGGCCTGGAACTGGCTGACCGTCTCAGTCCGCTGAGCCTCCAGGCGCCGGGACCTGGCTTTGCATTCCCGCAGGTCTTCCCTCTGCTTGGAAAGCCTATGCTCCTAGTCCTCAGTGAGGTGCTTCTGCTGAGCCTCCTTCTCGGCCAGATCCAATTCGAACTGAGCCAGCTGTTTTGCCAACTCTTTCTCGTGGTGGCAGCTTCGCTCCAACAACTGCTTCCTAGTGGGGTCCTAAGGGGCCCGGGTGGGCAGGGAGGGTTGAGTAGCGGCCGGCGAGGCACCCCTCGATGCGAGTGACATCAACTTTCTATTTCTTTCTCCAAGACGAACCATGATTAAAAGCAAGGGGAAAATTACTTGGCCTTCATCCTGTTGACGAGCTATTTCTATTTTTCCTTTCAGGCTTTTGATCAAACACTTTCCAAAGACAATTGCTTAGCGGTGGGCTTCTTCCAACGAAGTTACGTTCATTTGCAGCTGGGCAGGTAAGCAAGTGTCACCTCCCATGTTGCATTTCACATGACGCGCTAAACCCAGGATCCTAAGCAGTGGTGAAATCCACATTTTTTTTTACTACTGGTTCTGTGGGCGTGGCTTGCTGGGCGTGGTGTAGCTTGGTGGGCGTGGCTTGGTGGGTGTGGCACGGGAAGGATACTGCAAAATCTCCATTCCCTCCCCACTCCAGGGGAAGGACACTGCAAAATCCCCATTCCAAGCCCACTCCAGGGGAAGGATACTGCAAAATCCCCATTCCCTCCCCACTCCAGGGGAAGGACACTGCAAAATCCTCATTTCCTCCCGATCAGCTGGGACTCAGGAGGCAGAGAATAGATGGGAGTGGGGCCAGTCAGAATTTTTACTACTGGTTCTCTGAACTACTCAAAATTTCCGCTACCAGTTCTCCAGAACTGGTCAGAACCTGCTGAAACCCACCTCTGATTCTATTCTATTCTATTCTATTCTATTCTATTCTATTCTATTCTATTCTATTCTATTCTATTCTATTCTATTCTATTCTATTCTATTCTATTCTATTCTATTCTATTCTACCCTACCCTACCCTACCCTACCCCATCCTATCCATTCTAATTCTAATTAATTCTATTTCTATTTCTTTCAAATTCTAATTCATCTGACTCCACCCAGAGTCGCCTTATCAGGGAGAGGGCCAGCATATAAATTTAATTCATAAATAAATCCCATCGCTTCTGTCATCTAAAGTTTTGATTGGAAGCAGCTGTTGAAGCAACGCATCCGGTGTGACATTTTATAAAGCGCAGCCTTTACAGGGTACCGCGCTCTCCATCAATAATAAATGCAACTTTCTTCCTTACCTTCGTTTTTTTCCACCCTCCTTTCCACCACCCCCACCACCCATCTTTCTCTCTCCTCTCTTCTGACCCCAGGTACGAGGAAGCTTTGAAAGACGGGAAGAAGGCTCTGTGCTTTCTCGGGAATAATTCCTGCATCAATTACAAACAGATCGGTTTGGCCTTTGTACTCTGCGCCTCGGAGGTGAGAGATGAGAAACAGGATTGAGTGACGTTGGAGTAAAACGGGGGTGGGGGGATAAATTTCCATCATTCTAAGCAGCATCACTCTGAACGTGCATCTCACAAACAAACAAACACAAAAAAGATATTTTCTCACTTTTCATTGGATAAAGGAATTTTGTATCGTATCACAGGTGGTCCTTGACTTTCAACCTGTTGTGGCCCACCAATGGCCAGCAGCAGATTCGGACAGTGAGGAGGCTGGGGAGGAACATGGGACAGTCCTGGGGAAGTCTGGGGAAGGCTCGGACGAGGGCTCTGAGTCGGAGGCAGAGAGGGGGCCAAGGCCATCTGGCAGTTCTTTGCTGCCTCCGGAGTCTCCGGAGTCTGACCTCAGCGAGGCAGAAGAACAGCGGGAGCCTGTTCCCAGTGTGTGCATACCAGGAGAAAGGAACAATTAAGGAAACCGGGTCGACTTGGGAGTAAGGCTTGGAGATGATTGGCCTCTCCCATAAGACATAAAAGAGAAGCGAACGGGACGTGAGCTTTTGCAGGAAGCAATTAGTTCATCTGATCAGTAAGGGAACGGAGATTTTGCAATATCCTTCCCCCTGGAGTGGGGTGGGAATGGAGATTTTACAGTATCCTTCCCCTGGAGTGGGGTGGGAATGGAGATTTTGCAATATCCTTCCCCCAGGAGTGGGGAGGGAATGGGGATTTTGCAGTATCCTTCCCTTGCCACACCCACCAAGCTAGACCGCACCCACCAGGCCACACCCACAGAACCGGTAGTAAAAAAAAATTGGATTTCACCACCGGCATGGAATTATGGCTCCGAAACTCTTGAAATTGGGCCAAGGAAGAAAGGAAGATTGGGCCAAACCAATGCCAAAAACTGTCTCATCGATGAAAAAGACACTTTTTTTTAAAAAAAAATGCCTTTTTATTATTTAGCGCAATTGCCACTCAACTCTGCTGCGGATGAAAACCTTTGCCATTTATTTGCTCGGGAGCAAATCCTTTGAAACTTTTCTCCAAGTTCCCTTGGGAGCCCCCTCCCAGTTGCTTTGAAAAACAAAACAAAACTCTGAACAGCTTTTTCAGATCTGTTGCCGTTGCCTGGGAAATTTAGGCCAAGCTGGTCTAGCGTCCATCTTTCTCTCTGCCAAAGAGTTCTGTGTGACCACCAGAGCTTACAACTTCCTTTCTCTATGGCCGCAGGTTCTGCACAATATGGCAGCCGCCCACTGCCAACTTGGAAGCTGGCACGAAGCGCGAGAAGCTCTGGAAGAAGCAGCCGGGCAAATGCCCCAAAGACGAACCGCAATTGCTTTAAAGCAAGTAGAGGTAAGTCCTCTCGTTTAAATGGGAGGGAGGGAAGGAGGGATTTCAGCCAGGCAAATTCCACCCTTCCCTCCCTGAAAAAAAACTTGAGATTTCATTCCATTTTAAAACTCACTCTGTTCTTCTCCCTTTTTGAGCTGAGATTTTGCCTCTTCTTTTTATCTCAGGGTCATCTCTTCTTGGAACCCCAGACCGTCCCCCCAGGGAAAATTTTTAGGCCTCCCTTGCAGGCTGGAAAGTTGAAAGAAAAGGACTATCTCGGTCAATCCAAGGTGATTATAAAAGCTGGGTTTATTTTGCTTGAAATCCTCTCAAACCATGTTCAGATGTTCTATCTATACCAGCGTCTGATTACAGCAATGTTCCTCAACTTTGGACACTTGAAGATGGGTGGACTTCAACTCCTAGGATTCCCCAGCCAGCCATGGGAGTTAAGGTCTACACATCTATAGAGGAGAGGAGAGGAGAGGAGAGGAGAGGAGAGGAGAGGAGAGGAGAGGAGAGGAGAGGAGAGAAGAGAAGAGAAGAGAAGAGAAGAGAAGAGAAGAGAAGAGAAGAGAAGAGAAGAGAAGAGAAGAGAAGAGAAGAGAAGAGAAGAGAAAGAATAGGAGATTGGAATAAATAGAGAATGGAGAGTAGAGTAGAGTAGAATAGAGTAGAGTAGAAGAGAAGAGAAGAGAAGAGAATACAATAGAATAGAATGTAGAATAGAGTAGAGTAGAGTAGAGTAGAATAGAATAGAATAGAATAGAATAGAATAGAATAGAATAGAATAGAATAGAATAGAATAGATTGTAGAGTAGCATACAATAGAATAGAGTAGAATAGAATAGAATGTAGATTAGAGTAGAGTAGAGTAGAATAGAATAGAATAGAATAGAACAGAACAGAACAGAACAGAACAGAACAGAATAGAATAGAATAGAATAGAATAGAATAGATTGTAGAGTAGCATACAATAGAATAGAGTAGAATAGAATAGAATGTAGATTAGAGTAGAGTAGAGTAGAGTAGAGTAGAGTAGAGTAGATTAGAATAGAATAGAATAGAATAGAATAGAATAGAATAGAACAGAACAGAACAGAACAGAACAGAACAGAACAGAATAGAATAGAATAGAATAGAATAGAATCTGGAAGGGACTTTGGAGGTCTTCTAGTCGAGCCCCCTGCACAAGCAGAAGAACCTATACAATTTCAGACAAGTGACTGTCCAGCCTCTTCTCAAAAAACCTCCAGTGATCTTCAACCATCTTCAACTACCTTCAGCCATCACGGCTCACTGGGAAATTCTAGGAGTTGTGTGAAATCCACCCATCTTCAACCGTCTTCACACATCTTCAACCATCATGGCAGGCTGGGGGAATCCTGAGAGTTGAAGTCCACACATCTTCAAGGTTGAGAAACACTGGATCCCATTAACTAAGTTTGGGTTCAAAAGTCAAGTACCGTTGAGAAACGATCAACTGGATGAGAAGCTATCAAGAAAACTCAAGGTTAGGTGGGAGTTGAAAACACTTGGTCTTGCCAAGCTCGATTTTTTTTAAAATGAGAAATATTCCCACATCCCATTCCAGATGTCTACAGTGGAAGCAAAGAATGGCTACCTCAATGTCAGAATTAAGCGATGAAAATCAGGACGGAGAAGATAGCTCTTCTCCTTTTGATTCTTGAGACCCTGAGTGTGGCCAGAAGAACTTTTAAGAGGTCTCTTGGCTCTCTCCATGCTCTGGAAATCAACCAGAACCCAAAACCTAACTTTGGATTTCACGAGGAGAGACGCTAAATAGTCACCCTAGTTGATCTTTTGGCTATTTCACTCATCTCTGAATTCCTTTGCTTGCACAGATCATTTCTTCTGCTTTTGAAGAGGGCTCAAGCGTTGACGCTTCCCATCAGATGCCTCAGGTGTGTGGGACAACATGGGGAAGAATGAGGTTGGGTGGGTCACCGAGCAGCAGGTGGCCAACTTTTAAGTCCTGCCAGGGCTCCTCGCCGCTCCTGAGACCAGCTGCCTTGTAGGCAGGCGGAGAAGAGCTTCTACTTTGGTGATACAAACGATGTGTTTTTGTGCCCTCTAGTGGGGCTTCAGAAGAGGAATAATCTGTCTGGGGTGAATTTTTCCTCCCCATCTCCTCTACCCAGTTGCCTTGGGTTCCACAGAAGCTAAAAACTGGAAGGATCTTACATCTTTTTGGGAAGAACGAAAATGCATCTCTCTCTCTCTCTCTCTCTCTCTCTCTCTCTCTCTCTCTCTCTCTCTCTCCCTCCCTCCCTCCCTCCCTCCCTCCTCTCTCTCTCTCTTTTTTTTTTTTGCAGAAGATCACCCAAGGAATCCCACCTCCACCGGAAATGACACCTCCCGGTCTTCTTCATGAGAACCAAAAGAGCTGGATGCCAGGTCAGGCTAAGTTGACGATTCTTGAGTGGATTATCTAGTGGGGGTCACTGCAACCCAGCAAGAAAAGTTTTGTGAATTTATTTTATTTATTTATTTTATTAAATTTTTATACCGCCCTTCTTAACGGAGGGCTTCATTGATCCACAGGCAGACAAAGGTCTCTCTCTCTCTCCCTCTCTCCCTCCCTCTCCCTCTCTCTCTATTGTTCTCTTCCTCCCTTCCTCCCTTCCCCCTGACTCTCTATTCCTCTTTCTCCCTCCCTCTCACCCCTCCCCCTCTGTCTATTTCTCTCTCTCTCCCCCTCCCTCTCTCTCTATTCCGCACTCTCTATTTCTCTTTCTCTCCCCCTTCCCCTCCCTCTCTCTCTATTCCCCTCTCTTTCTCCCCCTCCCTCTCTCTCTATTCCTCTCTCCCTCGCTCCCTCAGACAGATAGACAGACAGACAAACAAGGATAGATAGATAGATAGATAGATAGATAGATAGATAGATAGACAGACAGACAGACAGATAATAGGATAGGGAGAAGAGAGAGAGAGATAGGATAGATAGACAGACAGACAGACAGACAGACAGACAGACAGACAGATAGATAGACAGACAGACATAGGTAGGTAGGTGGGTAGGTAGGTAGGCAGACAGACAGACGGTCAGATAGACAGATAATAGGATGGCTAGATAGATAGATAGATAGATAGATAGATAGATAGATAGATAGATAGATAGATAGGATATATATATAGACAGACAGACAGACAGACAGATAATAGGATGGATGGATAGAGAGAGAAAGAGAAAGAGAGATATAGAGAGATAGGATAGACAGACAGACAAATAGGATAGATAGACAGACAGACAGACAAACACGTATGTGCACAAACACATAATTTGCTGGAAATCGAAGGCGCCACAATGAAGCACTTGTGAGGGAATACAATAAATCTGTTTAGTTACACAACCAATATCTATACAGCCTCTCAAACTTTGCTGGGAAACACGAGAAGCGATGGGAAGGCGAGGGAAACAGCCAATTCCGACCACAACATGCATATATCAACATTGTGGTAAGAACGAGGAGTGCGATTTAGAGAGGTGACGTTGATTTCAACCCCGCCAAAGAGAACATTTCCTTCCCGGTCTAGTCTTTTAGGAATCTATTTTCCCCAACGTTTAAATTCCTCCAAAGATTAGAGAGGCAGATTTTCCCGCGCCTCCTCCCACCTCTTTCTCCCAGGACTGCTTTGACTTCTTTGCCAGCAAAATTGCCTTTTTCTCTTTTTTTTTTTCTCGAACGGAAGAAATGAAAATAAGACAAACTTTTTTTTTTATATTTTTTTTTTGCAGGAGAGAGAGAAGGAAATGAAATCGATTCCAAAAATCCCAAGTCGGAATGTCTTCCAGAGGTAAGTTTCTCCGCTTTTCAAAAATATAATCTTCAATTTCAACGGTCACGATTGAGCCAGTGATGGGTTTCAATTTTTTTTACTACTGGTTCTGTGGGTGTGGCTTGGTGGGCATGACATGGCTTGGTGGGCGTGGCTTGGTGGGCGTGGCAGGGGAAGGATACTGCAAAATCCCCATTTCCTCCCGATCAGCTGGGACTCGAGAGGCAGAGAATAGATGGGGGCGGGGCCAGTCAGAATTTTTATTACCGGTTCTCCGAACTACTCAAAATTTCCGCTACTAGTTCGCCAGAACTGGTCAGAACCTGCTGAAACCCACCTTGGAATTGAACCCAAATTCTCTGCTGCTAAACGAGACAGTTGTTAAGTGAATTTTGCCACGTTTTACCACCTTACCACCGAACTCTGGTCACTAAATGAACTACCTGTATTTAAGGGGCGATGGGAGGAGGAGAGAAAATTGGCAGAAACTGTATTTTTTCCAGCGGGATTTTTTTTCATCTCTCTGCAGTCACCACCGGTGGGTCCCACGAACGACGGTTTCTACTTAAAAGTTCACAGCTCTTTCGTTGTAAATCAAAAATTTGAGAAGGTCCCATCCCTGGCAAAACTTAGGGCCATCTTACAAGAAGAATATCGTCGGCAGGTGGCAACCCTGAAAGTGAGGTAGGAGGCTGTTTTTCCCACACACCCCCAATGCTGTTTTTCAATCAACCAATCCACATTACGGATACGACCGAAATAGGGTCTGTAGAATTTGACATTAAGCGCCATGGTGGCGCAGTGGTTAGAATGTGGTACTGCAGGCTAACAGCTCACTGCCAGTAGTTCGATCCTGACCGGCTCAAGGTGGACTCAGCCTTCCATCCTTCCGAGGTGGGTAAAATGAGGACCCAGATTGTTGAGGGAAAGAGGCTGACTCTGTAAACCGCTTAGAGAGGGCTGTGAATAACTATGAAGGAGTATCTCTTTCTCTCTCATCCATAAATTTGTGTCTGTCACGGACTTTACACAGGTACAAAGCTTCGGGAAGCACTGATTTCATCACTATTAACAGCGATGGACAACTGATGAATTTATGCCAAGATGCACAACGTAACACACTGACCCTTTGGTGCCAGGTATATATTATTTCTTGCGTTCAGGGGGGGCGACTCAGTTTTCAGGACTGTCCTATACCAGTAATCTGGTATAGTAAGAATAAAGTAAAGAAAAGAAGGAGCAAAATAGCATTCACCAATTTCTTCCTTTTGCCATTCCACTTCAAGGGTGAAGAAGTACAAGCGGATCATAGGCCTGTCCTTTACCGCATGGTTGGACGACGTTCTTACACCTCTGACGCGCCAGAAGATTTGAATTTTAAAGACGGGGAAGTCCTCGAGATCCTGTCTGAAGGTAGGAAATAGGACACGGATCCCAAGAGTGGGGTTTGCTGGGATCAGTGAGCTCAGCGTCCTCTTTCCCTCGCTTGGGAATTCAGGTAGGAGAGATCAACGGAGGCTGGTTTTCTTTCTCAAGCGATCCTCCCAGGACTGCTGGAGGTTCACAGGGGTTCGGGAGAACCTGTAGCTAAGATTCTGTGCAGGTCGGAGAACCCCCAAATCCCACTCCTGGCTGGCCCCGCTGACCCCACCCCTCTCAGGAGTCCCCACGCGGCCCATTTTGGATGCAGATAAGTGCAGGGCGCATGAGGAGGCTCGGGGAGGGCGAAAAAACAGGCCTACCACCTGTTTCCAGCTTCTAGAGGGCCTCCGGAGCCTGGGGAGGCTGTTTTAGCCCTCCCAGAGGCTCGAGGAAAGCCTCCGGAGTCCGGGGAGGGCAAAAACGCCTCTCCGTCCCCCGCCATGGTGCAGGAGGCCAATTAGGCCACGCCCACCCCTGGATCCCTCCCTCCCCCCCCCCACAATCCTCACCATGGATCTGTTCTGTTTCCACAGTGAACGAGGAATGGCTGGAAGGCCGATGCAACGGAATGACGGGAATTTTCCCTAAACTCTTCGCGGCGCCTGAATGCCCTGCTGCGGCCACCCAACTTTAGAAGGAAGAAGGAAAAAAAGGTCTCGTTTGCCGACACTGAGCTGTTGATAAGATATGACATTGGGGAGTGAGTGGGTGGGTGCTAGTTTTCTTGCAGACATTTCGTGACCCAAGTAGGTAACCTCATCAGTGCTAGAAGGCAGTGGGGTTTGTTTGTTCTCTTACACCATTCGAAGGAGAGAATTAAAAATACATTTGGGATTTTCGGACTGCACCAATAGAAGAGAATATTTGCAGCTCCAGTTTGAACTGGGTTTGGTGCTCTCTTGAGTTTGGCGGCTTTCTTGCAGACGTTTCATGACCCAACTAGGTATCATCATCAGTGCTAAGGGGTGGAGAGTGGATTTTCTATATTTTTGGTGCGCACACACACACACTGCCGTTCCTTATGGGTAGTTCTTGACTTACAAACATAATCAGGATCATACTTTTCATCGCTAAACAAAGGGGTTGTTAAGTGAGTCTGATTTCAAGACCTTTTTGGCTACGGACGTTAAGCAAATTGCTGCAGTTTTAAAGTGACTCATCTGGTTGTTAAGCGAGCCCGGCTTCTCTCATTGACTTTGCTCGTCGGAAGCCAGCTGGGGCAGGTCCCGGGAACGTTGCGACCGTCATCGATCCATGCCAAAGTTGGATCACGTGACCATGGGGGATGTTACGACGGTTGTAAGTCCGAGGACCAGTTGTAAATGAATGCTTGTAAATTGAGGAGTAACTGTATTACTTTGCAGAGAGATCGCCAGGACTCTTGAGCTAATTAAAGGAAATTAAATTACCGT